CGGAGTCAGCCCAGCCCGCTCTCCATCGGAGGCAGGCGGCGCCCTCTGCCCGGGCCATCCCGGCTGTTGGGCAGCACCAGTGGAGCTGTGGGCAGCGGGCACCCTCCTTCCCCCTGCCCGCCAGGAGTGGACACAGGGGAGTCCTCGTGTGGCTCAAGACACCGCTCTAAGTAGTAAACTAGGAAGAACTGTTATGGGGAGCCCGGGCCCCAGAGAACAGGAGGAGCTGCAGTCCGTCAACGGATACACGCGGGGAGGAAGGCAGATCTCCGGCCAGGGAAGGGCAGGCCTCCGCTCGGTGCAGGCCTGCCACACCGGGACTCGGAGTGAGGCTGAGGCGGGTTCCCGCAGCCCCGGGCTCAGAGGATGCTGGCCACGGAAAGACAGCACTCCCACCAGAGCTCTCAGCCAGTGCTGCGGTGTGGACTGCCTCAGCCTTCCCGACTGAGGGAGCCAGTGGGCTGCCAACTAGCAGGCCAGCTGGGGGCGCCCCCAAGCTTGTCATGAACCGCCAAAGTGGGCTGGGCTGCCCAGGCACAAGTAACCCCTACTTCTGTAAAAGCACAGACCAAAGCCGATGCGATGTGGTGTGCACATTTCAAACCCACCACTGGCTCCTGATGCCAAGTGACTCCTGGTAGTCTGGCATCTTAAAGGCCTGCAGATTTCAGATATTTACATAACAATCTAGTCACACAAGGACCCCCCCACCCCGCTGCAGAGCCCCGCAGACACTTCCAGAACCCTGATCCTCCCCCTGTAGATGGCGTCTGTGCTCAGGACTGCAAAGCTTTCCAATATGGAGAACCCCAAAGCAAAGTTCAAATATCCGCGTTTAGGGGTTGCCCGTAACAAAGGCTATCATTTTGCACAAATGATGGCAAAGGAAACTAATTGCAGAAGAAGTGACGATGAAAGATCATGTCATCGATCGAGTTTCCCACATACACTTGAGAGAGCAGTGCGTGGCTCAGCCAGTCCCGCATGGTTTCAGGGTGGGCGTGGCAGGAGCGGTGCATCTCGGGAAATGCCGTGCCCCACAGGGTCCATGTCACTCACCCTCCGTGGTTGCAGTGAGTCCTGACCCCTCAGAGACTCCAGGTCTCTGCTCAGCGACAAATTAAAATGAGAAGATTTCTCCAAACGCCCTTCTCCCCCATCTGTGTATTTTTCAGGAGCAAATCGATACTTAACGGTTGCTACAATGCACTTGAGCGCATTTAGATTTAAAAAGAAAGGAGCTAAATTCAGGCCTCTGTACCCTCTATCCTAATGTCTTTAGGGCTTTTAAAAAATTCCGTGTGACCTCGGAAGTCGAGACCACAAGCAATCAGTGAAAATTCTGGATCAACCTGCTCGGTCTGTGAAGGTATGGAGTTAACCAGAGCTGTCCAACCACGCCCCAGGGTGTCTGTGGCCTCGGAGAAGAGGGTCGGCGAGGCCATCCACACCCAGTGCAGTGGTCAGCAGGCTCCCCTTGTGCAGTCTGAACTGCGACAAGAGCCACAGCCCGTCAGGCCTAGCCTCGGCCTCTTGCTTTTTGTTTCTCAAAATAGTGTCTTCAGATCCCTATAGCTCTGGGGCTGGGAGGCAAATGGAGTCCTTTTGTTCTAAAGGAGATTTTCATGTTTGTTTCGCTTGGACAACTTTTTAAAAGTTAAAACCACCGTAAGTGTGCACTGAGTCATGCAGGGATGACCTTATAGCCAAGCGGTACCATCTGTTCTCAGATCTGCATCTCTCTGGGTGTTTATGTCGCCCGTGCTAACGGAGCACCTCATGTGACAGAACAGAATGTGACAATGTGACTGCCAGGCTAGGTCTGGTGTCCTTGGCAGGGGCATGGGGTCGGTGGCCGCTTAGTTCCGGGAGGCACAGCTGCAGTGTGTGAAGGATGGGTGTCCCCTGGCCCTCGCTAGGACTCTCCTGCGGGAGCCTAGGAGACAGAGTGGTCTCTGTGTGCCAGGGGCTTCCATCTTCCATCTGTCCCTGTGAAGAAAACTGGCTGAGAAAAACTACCAGCTACAAATCAAATCATAGAACCGACCGGCCTGTCCTGGAAGTCCTCAGACTAAATCCACCCGTGGATACAGCAGCTCCCACAGGAGGGAAGAGAGGACACCAGCAAAGAAGAGAAGTCAACTGCACCTGCCACACTCCATCCCAATGCAGCCTCTGATTTCAAGGCCCAGGCCTCTGGAAAGCTTGTGCGGGTCCTGAATCCCAGGAGTTCATTCCTGGAGAGAGGCACATGGCACTCAGGGGTGGTAGCATCCAGTTCCCTCCCATTCCAGGAGAGGGAAGCTCCGAAGAGCAACACCACTCGGCCTGCCACCACCCTTGCCTTTCCTACTGCCCTCCCAGGCCGAGCAGGGCAGCCCTTGCAGAGGAGGGCTCCGCAGCCCACCCAGGAGCTCCGCTTAGCTGACTGCTGAGCCTTTGGATCTGCGCCGAGCACAGGGAGTCTGGGGTTTGGCTCTCAGCCCAAAGAGGACATGGGTCGAAGCCAAAGCTGGCACAGAGGAAGTGTGAAGGCCCCCAGGCAGCAGCACCGAGGTTGTGCAGAGGAAAGGGTGTTTTCTTGCTCCACATCACCAGGAAGGAGAAGCTGTGGGCCATCCTCAGGCAGCAATCCTGGCTGCCTCCACACTCAGGAGCAGCAGGCCCTGAGCACCAAGGAGAGCGGAGCTGGGCACTTCTGCACTGTGGACTTTTAGAAGAGCATCCGGTTCATAAGCCAGGGAAGCAGTCGTTTCCACAAAGGCTGACAAGTGGCCTTTCAATGGTCTTCTTCAGAAATTTTGAATGGATAGCTAAGGACATGGATTTCAAAGGGGAAAAGCCATAAACCAAAAAATGCAAAGTAAAATCAAGACGCCCTGAAGACCAGAGAACCGCGTGAGGGATCCCAGGGTTGGGCCTGGCTCTCTACTGAGACACATTTCAAACTGATCTCACTAATTCCAGGCTTCTGTCTCTGGGCAGAGCAGATGCTAAGCAAAGTCATGTGTAAGTCGTGAGTGATTTGAGTCAAGTACAGCGGACCCTTGACTTATGAACTCGATCAGTTCCTGAGGGTTAGTTGTAACTCAAGTTGGTGGTAAGTCGGTACAGCTGAGATCTGGATGCTCACCTGGATACGTGCTATAGATGACAAGACCCAGATGAATCTTCCACTCACCTAACTAACCCAAGTTGTTTGTATGTCAGGCCAGTTGTAACTTGAGGGTCCACTATTTTAGGATACCATCAGAACCATTTAAAAATAAATTAAGAGAGACCCAGGCATGGTGGGGCACACCTGTGGTCCCAGCACTCAGAAGGTGAGTTCACCATGAGTTCAAGGCCAGCCTGAACTACATTGCAAGATCCTGCCTCAAAAAACCAATAAATAAATAAAACTATATTAAGAAAGCCATTCTCCCAACACATGAAATTTGTTATAGATATCTCAGACTTTTTATCTTTAACAACTTTACTGAGATATGAGTCACATGGCATATATCACCTATTTAAGGTGCAGAATTCAGCAGTCCTGATAAAGCCACAGGCAAGTACAACCATAACCAATTTTTCAATGTTTTCATCACCTCAGAACCTGATACCTTTAGCCATCACTCCCTACCCTTCGGACCTGGTCAGCAATATAAAGTTGCTTTCCCCCAACATAGTGCAAATAAGAATTTCTCAATCTTGGATTTGCTATATGGTCTTAAAATTTGGAGCACGCGTTCTAGTCCCCTGAGTGACCAAGGGTCACTGTGCTGCCATGTCCGGGTTCCGCCTCAGCACTCCATGGAAGACGGGGGACGGGCTTCAGCGGGGTGGGCCTGGCTGCCTGGGGCTGGCTGCACCGTCCTCACCTTCCCATAGCCCCACTGGTGAATGCCAAGGCAGGGGCAACAGCTGAGGGGCCAGGGGGATTTGGGCATTGTATAGGGCAGAGGACCTCAAACCACCTGTGTCAGAATTCTCAGGCACTGTGAGAGGTTCTGTTGAAAGTGTGGAGGCCTTGGTCCCACCCCCCACCCCATCAGATTTCTGAAGTATAGCTTGGGAATCACCCAGTTAAAAGCTCCTGGTGAGAGGCTGGGGATTTAGCTCAACGGTTCCACCACCTGCCTCACAAATGCAAGGTCCTGAGTTCGATCTCCAGTATCAAAAACAACAACAACAACAAAAAAAAACTCCTGGTGAGCTTTAAACACAGTGAAGTTTGCTGATTCCAGGACAGTGGACTGAAATTCTTTGCATCTCAAATTCCATGGTTCTCAGAGAGGCAAGTCCCCCCAGAGTTGTTTCTATGCCCTGATTTTTCTGGCTCTGCAGTCAATTTGGCTGTCCCTTTGTGTCCAAGCGGTCCCCTAGGTACATGGCTCAAGCCTACACTGCTCCTCCAGTTTTCATCCCCCTGAGGAGATCAGGGAGCCCCACGCTTACCCAGCTGCCATGTGCCAGCCACCCCGGGAACTGTGGGCAATGGCGAGCTGGCCCAGATTGTCCTGGCGATGCTAGAGTTTCATACTGGCTGCGTTTTCCCTACTGCTCATCTCTCGATCAATCAGTTACTGTCTCAATTAACTGCCTGCAGTTTTTCCTCTAAGGCCGAGTGATGGGTGCTGCTCAGGAAATACATTTCCAGAACCTTCACATTTGGCCCCAGAAAGGACAGAGTCTGCACCCACAGTCAGTGCCCTCTTCCGCCGGCCCCTCTTCAGCCCTTTTCTTTCCACGATCTCTTCCTAAGCAACATGGGATGATCTGGAAACTGTGCCATGGAACAGGATTGCTCCCGGGACCTGGTGGAAAGTGGGGCAGAAAGGTGACATCCCTTTCCTTAGGCCGGAGGAAAAGCAGAACCTGTAAAGTTGAACCTGCATTCAGATGTGCCAGGTGGGATTCCAGGGTGGAAGGGAGCAGAAGCCAGGGTTACGCAGACACAGGAGCGAGGGCCCGGCTCGGGCACATTTGGCTCCCCTGCCTGCTGGGTGATCAGGGCCACCCAACCGTGTCAGTGTCCCCACGCAAGTTCTCACTGAACTGGGGGCCCAGGGCCTCATCTCAGATGGGGACCTTACAGCCAATGAAGAGGGGAAGGGGCAACATGGCGGAGGGTATTCCAACCGTGCTGCTCAGTGGGTGCTCAGAGGCCTCCTCCAGGGACCAGATGCTCCACACAGGTCCCCAGCACAGGGTGGGACAACTGCTGCTGGTGGCAGGGCCCCTCGTGCCAGAGTTGAGTTAAGGCCCTGCAAAAGTGAGGGCTTGTCCTGGACCTCACACCTCGGGACCACAGGCATTGCTGGAAACCAGGTCCTGGCTCAGGTGAGCAGGAAGTCACCGTCCCCAGGCACAGGGTCCAGAGCTCAGCAGAGCACTTGGCTCCACTTTGTGCGGCTGAGGCCCCTGCTCCACACTTCTGGGGCGCCTGCCCACCACTTGCCTCACCTGCCAAGGCTGTCCTAGGGGTGCGACTCCAGCTTTCCTATTCCACCCCCTCTCCTCCACCCAGGAAAACCAGAGCCCCATTTCCTTCCCCCTAACTCCTTCTCCCTCCTCCTCAAGTTTCTTCAATCACATTTTCTTATGGCTTTTGCCTGATTTTCTACCAAACACCTTTTCCCTAACTCCCAAAACCATAGCAAAACTCCTTTTTTCGCCTTTTAAAAAGTTAAATCCAGTTGATACATTTCCCAGTTGCATTAACTGCAGATAAGATTCTTGGCTAAATATCACCAAGAACTAGAACGGAGAGCAGGCCCATTGGCTCTGGCAGCTGATGCCTCTGGGCCTGGAGCCGGTCCTTCAACCGTCACTGCTGCAGAGTGTCATGGTCTCTGTCTAGATGTCCCCTGAAGCCTCCTGCACTCAGACAGGACCTTTAGGAGGTGACTGAATCGTGGGGTTCATAGCTGACTTGCTGTTAAGAGATGGGGCCTGACAAGCAGGGCGGGTTACTGGGGCGTAGCCTGGGCGGGTTGGTCCGCCTTCCTGGCTCCTCCTTTCCCTCCTTGCTTCCTGTTCTCCAGCCATGAGCAGCGCTCCTCCGCCAGGCCCCTCTGCCACGCTGTCCTGCCTTGGAGCCGGCCAACCTTCCGGAAACGTGAGCCAAAACAGACCTCTCTAAGTGGCAGGAGTTGGGTGTTGTTTTCACCAGAGAAAAAGCGACTAAGATAGTGAAGAGGCAGTGATGTTTCACTGCTGGTCTCTCCCTGGCTGCCTCTTACACCGGACTCCTGGGTGTACTGGGAGGGACAGATCTGCAGCTTGGCCGGCTGTGAGCTCAGCCTTTGTGAGGACTGGGTCCCTGCTCTCCTCCCCCACCTTGGAGCTGCCCAGGGAGAAAAGGCTCCCGGGGGAATGGGTGACCCTCATCATCAATGCTGGCCAATTTCTCACTCGCCTGTGAGTTCCCAGAGGAAATGCGAACAAATCAGACCACTCTTGGCTGCTGGCCAAGGAATCTTTGAACTTCTTCAATAAAAAGACTTTAAAACTTTGGTTCTGACCCAAATCTTTTGCGCTAGCATAAAAACTGTGGGGCCTCAAGTCTCTGTGTTTAGAGAAACAGTGTGTCTGTGGCATTTGAATAAGGGCCTTTATCTCAGGAATGGGTCCCTGAGTTCCACTGGGTTCTATAAGCTCTCTGTACCTGACGCTCAGACTCCGAAGCTGCCTGAATGTCTGGTGAGTCTCCCTTTGCAGTGGCTGCTGAATGTATTTACTTGGGAATATTCCTAGCTCTGGGTCCTCACTGTGTTGTCCACTAATTGAGCCTTGCAAAGGCCCAGAGGCTGCTGCGTTTCCTCTGAAACCAGGATGAAAGAGAACAAACTCCGTCCCACAGGAGTTTACAGAGGTACTGGTTGCTGGTTAAAAAATAAATGTTTGAGAAACTGGTGAGATAATGGTACTTTTTTCTTTTAGACTAAATGGTACATTACATAGATATATTTTCTTATTAAAAACATGGACCGCTTCACAAATTCGTGTGTCCTCCTTGCTTAGGGACCACACTAATCTCCCTGCAGTTCCAGTTTTAGCACATGCGCTGCTGAAGAGAGCACTATTATGTATTGTTTTCATTCCTCTTAGTGCTGCTGAGTCCCACAGCAGATTATATGGCACATTCCACTTCTCCAAGGCTAAGCTTCTGCCTTTAGGGCCCGGAGTCTCAGGAAGAAAGTACCAGTCTTCCGGGCGCTGGCATTCTTCATCCTGGGTACAGCTCCACACTCCTGGACACGGTTGCCTCGAGTCCCCTTCGCACCTTGCAGAGGAAAACTGGTGCAATCTGAGCAGCCGCTAAGACGAGGACGTCGCTCCCAGGGACAAGGGGGCAGCCACTGAGCCCTCCCGGTGTCTCTGGGAGGTAGGAAGCTGAGCCTCCGCACCCCGAGATCCATCCCTCCCGCCCAACCTGCCTTACAGGGGGACTGAAGGCCCTGGGAACGTCCCCCTGAGAGCCCCCAGGAGTAGCTGGGGAGCGGGGAGATTCCAGTCTAGAGGGGAGAGGAGAGAATCACGGGTCATCCCAGAGGCGGAGTGTTTCAACAACAAGAGAGCAGTGCTTGCTGAACCATTTCCACAATCCCTCCCTTGGCTAGGGCACAACTCGGCGGTAGAGCACTTGGCCGGCATGCGCCCAAAACATTTTGCTTTTGTTTGGGAAATTGGAGATGTTGGTAAGTGGTAAAGCACTTGTTTGTCATACACAAGACCCTGGTTCTGATCCTTAGCACTGCAAACCAAACAAAAACAAAGTATAACTTCACCTTGCTAATTACTCCCTTACTGAACCCAAACTGTTCATTTTCACCTGGAGGACTTCTGGGGACTTTTATAGATGGGAACAACAGTTTCAGAATGTTCTTTTATGGTACGCTAGTAGATATGTTGGAGGGCATGTAGAGTTGTAAAATAACATTTTTTTTGTTACTCTTAAAGTGCCAGGACAGGTTTATCTGAACATAAATGTGCTGGCCCTAGTATTCTAGGACACCAACAAATAATTTATAAGGATGGACGTCACTGGCTTGAAAGATGCCTGCTCCGTTCCTTATATAGGAATCCTTTTTTTTAGACTGGCAACCACACCCACAACCTCACCTTCCCATCAGCACCAAAAAGAGGTCTACTTACTTCAGCCACCTGTAAAACAATTTCATACTTTATCATAATATTTGAGGAGCAAATATGATAGTTGACCTGCTTTTTTCCTCCTACATTATACTCATATATTTACAATGGAAACTTGTAAAATTGGCCAAAACCATGTTGGAGCAGAAAGCGTACGCGAGCCAATGGAACAGCACATTTGCAGAAACGTATGGTGGTGTGACCTTCCACAGCCGTGTGCAGCCGGCTCCTCATACCCATACGAGCTGCCGGTGCTCGTATTTACGACACACCATAATGACCACGGTGCCTGCCTGTCTGAGGTAATGGCTTTGGAAGAATCTCGCTCAGCGGGTAGCTCTGCTTGCCACTGGCTGTCCTCTGGGGAAGTGGCCAGCCTGTGGGCTTAGGCTATGGTCGCTGGCACCTGCTCAGGTGAAGGATGGTTTCTGTGGGTCTCGGATGGTGGCTTTGATGAAGGCTGGAGATTTGCCTCTGCTTCCCTCCTCGTCCTCCTCCTTGCTCTATTTTCCTTCTAGCTCTCCCTATAGCCTGATTGCTTTAGAGCTCAAAAATCAACTGCCCGCCGCCGTATCGCTTCTGCACCTGCCTATCTGTGCCCTCTCCGGGCCATGAAGCCCAGCCTCTCCTCCACCCTGCATCACACCTCCAGGGAACAGGACTCCGACGCTCTGTCAGTCAGAGTGGCTTGCTTGGAAGCCCACTTTGGAAAAACAAGAGCCCAAAACACCTTCTGCCATTTTCAATCTCTGGCTTCTCTGGACCCATCTTATTTCATGTTCAGCTTCCCAAATTCTGGTTCGTTTGAGAAAATGGAAATTTCTCAGCAGAAAAGCACACCATGCTTAGTGAAGTTGTAGGAGTTCCCAGGAAAAGACTGAAACCCTAACACTAGGACTCCTCTTTGAGGAAAACATCACATGGGCCCACCTTTTGTGCAGAATTTAAATATTCCTGAAAAGGATACACAGCCACCGTTTCCACGCCCCAACACCTTGAAAGGACAACTGGGTGTCAAACAGCTAGCTGTTTTCTTGGAAAACAGTGAGATGGAACACAGCTGTGGCAAGTTTTAATAGGTGCTGGAAGATGAGGTGGATAAAAAGAAAATTCAGGAAGGGATGGCTCAGTCCCACTAAATAAATCCTCTCACAGGGTCAGCTGGGCAGCATTAAACACCCAAGGATTATGACAAACAGGAAAGGGGAGATGGTCTGAATCAATCAAGTTTCGATCAGGAAAACAGAAATCACTCCAAAATTCCCAACGGAGAATCTACTACAGGGAATTAATTACCAAGTTGATGAAAGAGCTGTGAACCCAAGAGGATACACAGATTAGCAATCAGGGAAAAACTGCTGCCGTGCCCTGGGCTGGCAGGACAAGGTCACGCGCTGTCAGAAGCTTGGGCTATCCAGATTACATAGACGTTTGGAGTGACTTTAGGCATGCTCCAACCTCCATCTCTTCGTAACTCCTGTTCAGGATTGTAAATTTGGGGTAAAGATTTCTCTATAGAATGCTTGAAGGATTAAATAACCCAGTCTGGATCCCACTAGACATCAAAGAAATGGTTGAGTCTTTTTCGGGTCTTTGAATGAATGTGAAGGAGAGGAATGAATGCCAACAGCCCTCTACCTCTCCTAACCCAAAAGTGCACTCTCTAAAACCAGTAGAGGAAGAGATAACACCCACCTTCATTTGCCAAGGACAGCCCCCAAATACACTTGCCTTCTTGTCATCGGCATCGTGTTCATATCACGTCCTGAAATTTCCATCCCATGATGAAGTACCATTATTAAAATTTCATTCACTAACATAATCTTGGCTGTTTGGCAGACTTCCACTTCGCCCTTCTCCCCCTATAGCTTCAGCATGTGAAGTATGTGAGGCCTGTGTGCACGGGTAGATTTCTTATTTTAACACGCTTGAAAGATGATCATCTATAACTCATGTCTCTTCTCCTGAAATAATATAACTAACGCATCTATCAAGTGCACCGGTGACGGGTCCAGCTAATTCTGAGCCACGGGTCACCGAGACAAGTCTTTGTCAGTCCTGCCAGTCCGTGGTGTCAAGGTCAACACCACGGGCTTTCTAGACCACTGACTGGAAGGGTCAGGGGTTGTTGGAGTTGGTGTGGATAAAATAGGAAGACAAAGGCAGAACACATACGGATGGTTTATGAAAGTTCTTGATATTACAGTCTTATCTCTTACTCTATGAGATGCTAATCTATCACTATTGCTTTATGGTTTGCTAATAATACTTTGACATCGCATGGCAAATCCTCTCAACGGCAACGAGCTAACAAAAACTTGAATGTGTTCAATGAAAAATAAGCACCAAATTTCCATTTCACAAGACAATTAATAACGGGTCTGTGACTTAGACTAATGTTTGTGTTTACCACCTACCTTCAGTCCGACTGTGCGACCATGAGAAGAGGCAGCATCTGCTTCAGAAGCTGGCCATGATCTAGAGAGCCTGCGCCCAAAGAAATGAATGTACCATGTGCAACTGCAGAAGGCAGTCGATCACATGTCACTTTGCAAAGCACAAATTTTCATTCTGATTTCAATCCCAAGTTTTCTCATGCATAGGCAAAAAGTAAATTAATAGCAGAATACTACCAGCATTTAAATGACACAGGAAAGGAGAAAATGGTGGAGTTGTGATCAGCAGCAAAACCCAGCCTTTGCAAGACCCAGAAAATACCAACTTGGTGAAAGTAGAGTGCTGGAAATCATCCAGATCATTGACAGGAAAATTAGAAGCTATAAAGAAGTTGGAGAAATGGACCACAACAGAGAGAAAAAAAAAACAAAGAAGTCTGGAAGCTCAGTGTCAAGGAGTCAAATAATAACAAATGCTGGTGAGGCTAAAGGGAAAGGGATCCCTTCTAAACTGTCGGTGGGGGGTTGAGGATTCAGCTCAGTGGTGCCGTCACCTGCCTTGCAAGCACAAGGTGCCAAATTCGATCCCCAGTACCAAAACAAAAAACAAACAATAAAAACTAAATTGCCAGTATGTAAACTAGTACAACCACTATGGAAATTAGTATGGAGATTTTTCAGAAAACTAAAACTAAACATTTCATTTGACCAAGCTATTCCCCTTCTGGGCGTCTTCCTGAAAGAATTAAAGACATCATATTATAGTGATACGTGCATACCTATGTTTACAGCAGCATGATTATAACAGCTAAATCTTAGAAGTGGCCTATATGTTCATCAACAGATGAATGGATAAAGAAAATGTAGTATCTATACAAACAGAGTACTACTCTGCCGTAAGGATAAGTTTGAGTCATTTGTAGGAAAGTAGATGCATCTAGAGCCCATAATGAAAGAAACCAGACAAATGAGATTAAATATCACCCGGTTTCTCTTATACTCAAAGTATAAATAAACTAAAGAGAAAAACAAAAGACAGATAACAGGAAACAGGGAAGTAGATCTTTTGCAAATGGTAAAGGAACCAAGAGATGGTGGGAAGGGGGTGAAAGAGGAGGATAGAGGATTAAAGAAACGGAATTAACATGTTTCATGTACATGCACCACCGCCCCACAAGGGATGTGATCATTATGTACTAGAAATGTGCACCAATTAAAAAACAAAAATTGAAAAGAAAATAAATATAAAACAGTTAAATGAAAGCTTAGCGCCAGTGTTATCAGATGCTTCAAACAGAAAATCAGCTAAGTTCAATAAGCTATTTTCTTCTAATTAAGAGTTTCAGTACCGGGGATTTAGTGGCACCATGCCTGCCTTGAAAGCACAAGGTCCTGAGTTCAATCCCCAGTACCAAAAAAGAAAAAAGTTGAGTGCCAATTAATAGTTTCAAAATGTTCGTTCTGCCAAAAGTGAAACACTTAACATCGTTGTGAGAATAAATTCAATTAAAATTTTGACATTGAAGATAGAATTATATATTTTTGCGATGGTATTTATACAAATTAGGTAGAGTTTATCATTGTAGTAATACGAACATTTTTACCAAAATGAGACTCCACTGAGTAAAATGTACAGTAATACCTCGGTTCATGAACTCTTCCGTTCACAAACGATTCGATTGGTAAACAGAAGTGATTGGCAAAATGTTGTTTTCATCCGTAAAAGCAGCACATGGGGTGCTCTGTATCTGGTGACCAACACGACCACGGCCATCTTCCCCACCTGAGCATGAACTCAGTGATCTTCCCCAGAATCATGGAAAATTAATTTCGTGAACCGAGGAGCACTGGCCTTGGAATGGTTAGTGTGTGCCTGCAATTTGTAATTCAGTATCATAAACTGTGATATGATACCAATCAAAAAAGTAGCTGTACTTATTAAAGTTTATATTTCATTATAAAGAATTCTGTGACACAATGTTGATTTTTTTATGCTGCAGTTTTATGTACGATAGTTTTTTTGGTTTGTTTGTTTGTTTGTTTGTTTGAGACAGGGTCTCACTATATAGTTCAGACTGACCTGGAACTCACTATGTAGCCCAGGCTGGTCTCGAACTCAACGATCCTCTAGCCTCAGCCTCCCAAGTGATGGGATTACAGGCATGCGCCACCATGCCCGGCCAAAAAATCTATTTTAAAAAACCCTATTAGAATTAATCAATTATTTCAGCAGGGTTCTAGGATGCAAGATGAATATACAAAAACTAAAAACTAAATGCATTTTATACTCCAGCAGTGAGCAATATGAAAATGAATTTCAAAAACAACCAATTTACAATAGCATCAAAAAGAATAAAATTCTGGGGCTGGGGATTTAGCACAGTGGTTCTGCCACCTGCCTCACAAGCTCAAGGTCCTGAGTTTGATCCCTGGTACTGAAAAAAAAGGAATAAAATTCTTAGGAATAAATTCAACCCAAGAGGTGTAAGATTTTTACCCTGACAACTACAAAGCACTACAGAAAGACATTAAAGAAGATATAAGTGCAAAAACACCCTATTTTCACGGGTTAAAAGATTTAAGGCTATTAAAATAGCAATATCCCTAAACTGACCTAGAGATTCAATGGAATCCTTATCAAAGCTCCAACTGGCTTTTTTTTTCCCCCAGAAACAGACAAAAGCCTATCGAAAACTTCATATGAAATTGTAAGGGCACAGAATAGCCAAAGCCATCTGGATAAAGATCAAAGTTGGAGGACCTAGATGTCCCAAGTTCAGAAGTCACTGCAGTGCTGCGACAGTCAGCATCAGGTGGCACCAACGGTTGGCATCTGAACCGATGGAAAAGGGCTGAGAGTCCAGATCATGCGTGCACATTTACAGTCCACGGGGTTGGGCGAAGGCGCCAAGGCTGTTCGATGAGGAAGGAATAGTCTTTTCAACAACTGCTGCTGGCATTAGCCACAAGTTAGAGGACACACTACGCCCCTGCTTTCTACTTAGAAATCAACCAGAAATCAACACAGGTGGGTCAAATCCATCACTGTAAGCAATAAAACTTTTACAGAGAAATATAGGTGAAAGTGTTCATGACCTTGAATTTGGCAATGATTTGTTCAATATGAGACCAATCAGATAATCAAATAAAAAAGAAACTGGACGTAATTAAAGGACAGCATTAGGAAATTGAAAAGACAACCCATTAGAAGAGGGAAAATATTTTCAAGTCATCTGTCTAAAGAGCCCAGCATCCAGGGGCCAGGGATTTACCTCAGTGGCCCCGCACCTGCCTCATAAGCACAACATCCTAAGCTTGATCCCTGGTATCCCCCCGCCAAAAAAAGCTGTCTACTATCCAGAATAAATAAAGACTCTTACAAATAAACTATTTAAAAGAGAACCAAATAAACTAACTTAAAATGGGCATAGGATTTTACTGACATTTCTTCAAAAATGTGATGTTGGTCATGTGAAAATAGAAGTAAGGAAATGGAAATCACAATGACCATGAGATATTACTCCATCTCCACTAGAATGAATGCACTAAGAATAATGGGCAATAGCAAGTTCTGATAAGGATGTGGAGAAATCTGAACCCTCACACTTTGGAGATGAAAAATGTGGTACAACTGCTGTGGAAAACAATGTGGCAGCTCCTCAAAAAGTTGAACAGAAACTACCATATGATCCAGGAAGTCCACTCCTTGGTCTATAGCCAGAAGGAATAAAAATATAGAGAGCATTCATGGAAAACCTTGTGCATAACTTTTTATAGTAGCATTACTCATAATAGCCCCAAAGTGGAAAATAACCCCAATGTGTACCACCAGAGTGGACATATGAAACGTGGATTACCCATACACCGGAGAAATGCTACACAAGATCACATGGACAGACTCTCAGTACCTTGTGCTGAGGAAGTCCAAAGGAAAGGCTTCACACGCAAGATGATTCCACTTCTCCAAAATGGTCAGCATGGGGGAATCCCCAGTGGCAGAAAGAGGTATATCAGTTGGCAAGAGCTGGGAAGAGCAGAAAATTGAAGTAAGTGCCCAGAGAACGGAGTTTATTTTATGTATTTGTTGACAGACACAAGATAGCATTGCTGACTACGTAAAATGTAGGCCTCAGACAATGTCAACAATTTCAAATTTATTAACAACAAAATCGAATTTTGAAGATCACAGGAACTTTTAAGAAAAAACTGAGGTCTATTTTAAGAACACATTCTTCAGAAAAACACCTGTGATATGGCTTCTGGACAGAAATGGCTGAGAAGTATGAATAGGATCCAAGAAAATGATTCTGCTTGTTACTTTTTAAATGCTCAGATAATATAAAGATTTTAAATTATGCTTTGATATATGTGGATTTGCACTTTTCCAGTAGTTTTTCATTTTATGCACCTATTTTATTGATTCACTGTTATAATAAAACCAATTTTTGTTCAATAAATGAATATCTCCAAAATTATAAAACTTATACTTAAAATCCTCTTTCGCTTCCAGAAGTGTCTTGGTTTCCACCATAAAGTACATGGCCACTCTATTCAGAAAGAAATGGCAGAGTGATGCATGCCCTACATCTAGGCATGGGGAACCCAGCACAGTACACAACTTCCTGAGGAGAGGGTCCCCGTGAGCACTTAGTGAGGGTCCTGAGCTTGTCCGCGTCCCCACGCCACCTGGACCTGGCCATTCAGGAAGGGACTCCCAAACAGCAACTGTCACTGCCTGGGACCAGGGCCATAAAAGCGCCTAAAGGATGAAAGGAAGGAAATAAGGAGAGGCAGGACACAGGAAGGCCCCCTCCACTTGTCAGCTCTGCGCTCTGTCCCTGCAGTCCCCATGTGTGCCTCTAGTTGGGTCCCTGGAGACCAGGGGAGCCTGGCATGATTACCGGTGTAGCCCCTTCTCATCTCTGGGCTTCTCTGGGCCTCGCAACTGTGCCACCCCAGAGCCCACAGTAGAGCTGCATTTTGATTTCATGCCAGCCTCAAACCTCCAGGCTCCTGCTGCTCTGGGCTTTACTCCAGGGCTCTGGAACAGAAGCTGGTGTCTGGTTTTTTCACACTCGGCCCTGTTGGGGGCCAATCATGGCACTTTGGTTGAGAAGTGTTATATTAAAGGGTTTCGAGTTGATGTGCCTGAAATAACAAATTGATTTAGAAAAAAATGTTTCATCTGTATAAATAAAATGATAATGTCAAACATATTGATTTTGTTTAATTTATGGTACATTTGTGAATATGCATGTCTGTGCGTGTGTGCTAGATTTCTTATTCATTTTTGGTGAGGATTATTTTTCTTTTTTTTTTTACAGTTTAATGTATTTTAATAGCAAACTTACAGGAACAGCACAGAAAGACAGATGACATTAAAAACATGTACTAGCATGTAAGACAACTCAGAGAAGTGTAGTGACTGGATGGAATCTACTGTATGATAAAAATGCTACAAACACCATTTAGTTGCCATCAATAAGAAATTTACTTGTTTTTTAAAAAAATCCAAATGCTGGCATTGTCCAGAAAAATTTAACAGGTTTATTTATAATTGTTATAAAGTTGAACTGCTGAAACTTGTTCACTGAAACATTTTGACTTGCATTAATGCTTTACATCCACGCATTAATATTAAAAATTCACACAAATGAAAACGGAAAAACTGCCAATACCTGATTTCTGTCCCCTATTTTCCACTTGCAATTATATACTTAGGTACCTTTTGACCCCATGGGAAAAAAAAATCTAACATTTAGAACTACCACTAACAGGAAGAAGAGAAAAAAAATTTTTTTTTGAGAATGCGATGTTTTTCCCACCATAGTAGACTCTTAAGCACGCTCTCCACGTATGCGGCGTGCTAGCTGGTTATCTTTTGGCATAATTGTTATACGTTTGGCATGGATGGCACACAGGTTGGTATCTTCAAACAGGCCAACCAGATAGGCCTCACTTGCCTCCTGCAAAGCACCAATAGCTGCACTCTGGAAGCGCAGATCTGTTTTGAAGTCCTGAGCAATTTCTCGCACCAGACGCTGGAAAGGCAGTTTGCGAATCAGAAGTTCAGTGGACTTTTGATAACGTCTAATTTCACAGAGTGCCGCAGTCCCAGGTCTGTAACGATGAGGTTTCTTCACCCCTCCAGTAGAGGGCGCACTCTTACGTGCGGCTTTTGTAGCCAGCTGTTTCCTGGGCACTTTACCACCAGTGGATTTGCGGGCAGTCTGCTTTGTACGAGCCATGATACAGGGACCTCCTTACCCGCTTCTCCTTCGGCTGGAGCTCGGCGAGCTAGAGGTGGCGCTGGGGTTGGAGAGCGACGGCGGCACGGCAGCGGCTGCGAACACAATTGAGGATTATTTTTCTAACACTTCAAAATATACCAGTGATCAGTCATCAGCGATTAACTTATTGAAAATAGCTTTCCTTAGGCTTCACAATTACCTGCTTTCAATAAAAGAATCACAGCATTAATTTCCTGACCCAATTATCAAGTTAATCTAAAGTAATAAACAAGTTACTGTAATCTCTCAATTTTCTTTTTTCTAGCTGGACTTTAGCAGCTAGAATGGCTTCAAATCTGTACATAGCCAAGAAAAGAAAGCAAAATGTGTCTCTCCAGTAGAAAAGAAGAGTCCTTCCCTGTGACAGGCTTCAGCTAGTCAATCTGCTCACGGACGTTACGACACCCTGTTATTGGCAGAGTTCCCAAAGGGCCAGCTGCTCCTCACCAACACCAAGGGGTGTGGAAGACAAAAAGGAAAAAGGAAATAAACAAAACAGGAAAGAATATTTGAAGAAGGTCTCAAGATCCTGGTGCGAGTCCTTGCTCCACTACCGTGTATCTGTGTGACCTTAGGCCAAGTGGCTTAAGCTCACTCAGGCTGTTTCATCACCAACACAGGAGCGTAGGATCCGTGCTACAAAAGTTCGGGCAGATTACAATTAAACACACCACTCAGTTTAGAACAGCTTCTGATCTAGCTGCACTTCATAAATGTTTCCTTGATGTGGTGACAAATCGCTTTTCCCTGGAAGCCTTTTGGGTTTCATTAGAGATACGGAGTAAGCATAAATCTTATGGAGAAGGCTGTGGCGTGAAGATCAGTAGGCTTCATTGTGAGGGCCAAGTCAGCTTCACCAGCAGCGGGATCCTGCACTGCTGTGTGTGTGGCAGGAAGGGACTCTGACTTCTGAATTCCAGGAGCAGAGACCAGCTAGATGGCAGCATCTGCCAGGACCGCACAGGGGCAAGAGCCGGCCTGCGACATTCCTGGTCTTGCAGGAACAAAGGTCATGCCTGCCGTGAGTTTTGCCGCCAATTTCACAAGAGAAACTGAGACAAGTCATAATAATTCTTAAACCAAGAAATAAGTTAGTTAAGGGCAGGGACAAGGGGAAAAAATGAGAACCAAGACCTGTCATGTAAAGGTACAAGATCCCAATAATGAATGTAACTGTACTGTAGACCTAAAATGTACCAATAAACTCAATAAAAAGAAAAAGAAATAAGTTATTTGAGAATCACTTCATTTAAACAGCAGCCCAGGGACTGACAGCAGTTCTCAACATTTAGGAGTTTAAGGCCCATGGAAGGAAACTGTATGAACACACAGCAATCCTACCTCACCTTCCCTTCCCCGAAACCCAATTATGTAAACAGACAACCAGCAGCCCTGAGTGAGTGTACAGGATTCTCCCTCCTCAATGCCCCCTGAATTCTAAGTTCTGCTCAGCTGAGCCCACCACGGAATCCTTTGACTTGGGCTGCCCAGGCCTCTGCCCTGGGTCCTCTTGGCCTCTCCAGCAGCGTCTGTTGCTGCGAGTCTTCAAGCACTGCCTTCTGATGGGAAGTCTTAAGGATTCTTCTTCTCCGCTCACCTCTCTTGCTCAAACACTTAGCAGTCACATGAAAGGGGCTCATCTTTTTGTAGTACACCCCTGCAGTACACTGACTTATGTCCCCTGTCCGTTTTACTAGGTTTCTTTCTTTCCCTCCCTTCCTCATAGCCACTGGAACTGGGGCTGCTTTCTTCTTTTCTTTTCCAGATCATTCATTATCGATGTATAGAAATACTATTGATTTTTGTATGCTGATTTTGTATGCTGAAACTTTGCTGAATTTATTAAATTTAAGTTTTTAATAGAGTCTTTAGAGAGATACAGAGAGAAGGCCCAGAATTTAGCTCAGGGGTTCCGCTGCCTGCTTGGCAAATGCAAAGACTAGAGTTCAATCCCCAGTACCAAAAAAAGATATGTATAGATATAGATATATTTGTGTCATCTGCCAACAGGGACAATTTGGGAGCCCTTTCTTTTTCTTACCTAATTGCTCTGGCTGGGTTTTCCAATACTAAATTGAATAAAACAGGTATACTAAAAGTGGTTATCTTTGTCTTGCTGCAGGTCATTAAAAAGAAACTTTCAGTATGCTGTGGGTTTGAGTTTTTCCTCCTATACCTAATTGTTGAGATTTTAGCATGAAGGGATGCTGAATTTTATCGAATCTTTTTGTGTCTATGGAAATCACTATAGGGCTTTTGTCCTTGGTAATGTTGATATGATAAACCACACCAGTTGTGAATGATGAACCATCCTTGCATCCTGGGGATGAATTCCATTTGATCTAGATAAAAGTTCTTTCTTTTTTTGTACCTGGGATCAAACTCAGGACCTTGCACTTGTGAGGCAGGTGCGGTGCCACTAAGCTAAATCCCCAGCCCCCCAGTGATCTTTCTAATATGCTATTGAATTCAATTTGCAAGTCTCATTGAGAATTTTTGCATGTATTCATCAGGAATATTGACCTGTAGTTTTCTTTTTCTATCATGTCCTTGTCTAGTTTTGGTATTGTGAGACTAGCCTCATAGAATGAGTTTGAAAGAATTCCCCTTTCAACTTGAGGGAATAGTTAGAAATAACTGGTATCAGTTCTTTACATGTTTGGTAGAATTCAGCAGCGAAGTAATTGAGTCCTAGGCGTTCTCTCATGGGAGTTTATTACTGACTCAATCTTGTTACTACTGGTTTGTTCTGGTTTTCTGTTTCTTCATGGTTCAGCTTTAATAGATTCTATGTGTTCAGGAACTTGGCCATTTACTCTAGGCTTTCCAATTTCTCGGCACACAGTTGTTTGTAATAGTTTATGATCTTTGTATTTCTGTAGTATCACTTGTACTTTTACATCTGATTCTCTTTCTGAGTCTAAGTATTTGTCAAATTTATCTTTTCTAAAATCAAGTGTTTTGCTAATTTTTTGTATCTTTTTAGTCTCCACTTGATTTACCTCTCCTCTGGTCTTTATTCTTTCCTTTTACTAGTTTTAGATTTAATTTGTTCTTCTCATCCTAGTTCCTTGAGGTGCAATGTTTGAGATTTTGAGATTCTTTTGCTTTTTTTTTTTTTTTTTTTTGATACGGGTGTTTATTACTATCAACTTTTTTTGTAGGGCTGTCTTTGCTGTCCTGTAGGGTTGTTTTGTTTTCTTTTGTTTTTTGTACCAGGGATTGAACTTGGGTCCTTGCACTTTCCAGGCAGGCACTACCACTGAGCTAAATCCCCAGCCCTATCCCATAGGTTTTTTTTGTTTTGTTTTGTTTTGTTTTTTGGTACTGGGGATTGAACTCAAGTCCTTGTGCTTTCAAGGTGGGCGGCAGAACCACTAAGCTAAATCTTCGGCCCTCCAATAGGCTTTTTTTTTTATTATTTTTTTTCAGCTTTAATTGAGTTTATTGGTACATTTTAGGGATACAGTACAGTTACATTCATTGTTGGGATCTTGTACCTCTACATGACAAGTCTTGATTCTCATTTTTTCCCCTTACCCCTGCCCTCCCTTCACCCGCTCCTCCCCTCCCCATCTACAAACACTTTATTTCCATCTTTTCATTCTCTCACATTTTTTTCTTTTCCCTTATTACCCTTCCCCTACCCATCCCACCTTCCCTACATCTTTAGCTCTTTCTTCCCATTTCTAAATGTCAGTAATCTTATTAGGATCTTATGTATTATTGCAGATTATTCACACCAGGAAAACTGTTCGGTATTTACACGTGTGACTTATTTATTTCACTTAGGGGTATATCTTCAATATGTATCCATTTTCCTATGAATGAATCTATTTTCTCATTCTTTATGGCTGAGTAATATTCCATTTTATAGAAAAACCACATCTTCTTTATCCAGTTTCCAACGGATGGGTAAATGGGTTATTTCCAAGATTTAGCTATTACAAACTGTGCCGCTATAA